TGTACAAGGATTACATTAGCAATCTTTATTTGTTCTAGATGTCCTCTAGAAATGCATATGGTGCACTATGATCGTCAGTTCAAAAAACTTGGCGATGCTGTAAAATTTAATCAGGGTTTGGCCGTGCTTGCAGTGTTATTCTATGTAAGTTACTAAATTTTTTACAGAAGTAAAAAGCATGTTAAGTGATGTTTGAAGTTCTTGAGGCAACAAGTATGAAGATAGCTGTCTTGATGTATGTAGAAGTATAATTTATCTCTTAGCACATCTCAAATCATTATGCTAACCTCACCTATGTATTTCATAAGGAAGGCTCTGGCATCAACTCATTTTGGTATAACCATGAGGGTCATTGAAAAATTAATGGGACTTGCCTGGAATACAGGCCGTGAGATGACAGCTCTACAATCACACTTCAACACAGCCTGCATATTGTTGTTATGAAATTGGCATGGCAGTCATACAGCACCAGCACTTCCTGTGCCTACTTGTCTTTATTCCATTGTTGAATTTTCCAACAAAGACATGTGAAGATGCTGCAGTAAATTACACTGTTTACAGTCCCCTGGAGAAGACACTGCACCATCAGTATGCTCTCCATGTCCCAGAAGACCATGGCTATCTACTTGCCAGTAGAAGGAGCTGTCTGAAATTTCTTGGGCCAAGGGTTTTTATCATGCTTCTAGTGCCTGGATTGCTGCCAGTTCCAAAAAAAATTATAACTTGCAGAGCATTGTTTGAAAGTCAGTACATACATCCTAAAAGACTGGTTTGCTGCATCAATCAGGAAGGTACCAGAAAGATGGAAATGGTGCATTGACCTTAGTGTGGAGTATGTGGTGTGTGCTAAAGTGTGATTATGCAGCCATCCTCCCCCTGTGTTCCAGGCAAGTCCCAAACATTTCTGGGTGACCTTCATATTACAGCTGGGATGGAGGAAAGGAAACTATCATAATATATAAGTAAAGATTAGTTTTAAATCTTTGAAGCCTGAAGCTCATCTAAATAATATTTACACACCCAGTTCCTAATGCAAAGAGAATACAAGCCTTCTGCAATACAAAGACCAGTTTGCTGGTGATGTTTAAGAAAATAATCAGTGTTTATTATGATAATCATATGAAATCAGTAGCACCTTCTGTGGGGAGAATACAGAGCTGTTTAATCTGAAGGAAGGTGGTATGTATTTGAGGGGTTAATTTTATAAATGTTAAACTTTTTCTAATTGGTTCTTAATATGTTGATAGTTAAAATTAAAGTGAAACATATTATTTAATATAGTTCTCTTCTGAATTACTTGATTCACACAGACACAATTCAGCTATAAATGCTGTGTGAATTGTTACTTGAGGCAGAATTTTTACACACAGTTCCAAACAACAAAAATATATACTTTTGCAAGGTTTTACACATATGTTTTATGCTCTTGTATTACTATAAGAGCATAATATATTTGAGTAGACAACTGATGCCTGATGTCTGAAACATGTCACATGTAATGAAATACTGAAGCATTTAATATTGATTTGTTGCATGAAGATGGCTAATAAAAATAGTTATTTAATTCATTTACAACATCAAGCTCCAATACTATCTAATCCCTTTTGTTGTAACTTGTATGTTTTTATTGGATCTAGTGTTACATAATGTTCTCATGTGTAATCTCTGTACAAGCATCCCACTTTACATCTATCTTTTCTTTAGATTTTTTTGGGTGACTTTCCAGGAAACAAAGGAACCAAATACAGTGCTCCAGCCCTTGTTGGAATTCATGCCTGAAGTGAGTCAAACAGAGGGAATCCCATACAAGTTATCCCAACATGTAACACTCCAGAATTTATTGCCTGATGAACTAAATTACTTCTATCGTTATGCTGGATCACTCACAACACCAAACTGTGATGAATCAGTTGTGTGGACAGTTCTAGCACAACTTGTACCTATTGGAGTACAGCAGGTAATTTCTGTATAAACTAAAAGACAGTTTTTACTAATTTATCCATGTAAAATACCTGCCTGATAGTGTCTTCACTGGAAAGTTTATAGTTATTTCACTGTTAAAGAATTTTGCTCTTGATATACTTGTAGGTGTGAAGATACATCATTGTTTCCACAAAAATTTATCACAGAACATCTTCAGCCAGTTCACCCTTTATGTACCAGATATTACAAGGATAATCTTTTATTATTATTTTAAGACAAGGAGCTGGGGTAGCTCAGTCAGAATAGTGACTGGCTACAGACTGGATGATTATGGTCAATCCCTGACAGGGGCAGAGGATTTTTCCTCTAGCCTTTGTGTCCAGACTGGCTCTGGGGCCCACCCAGCCTCCTATCCATTGGGTACTGGGATCCTTTCCTGGGGGTAAAGTGTGACTGGGGTGTGATGCTGACCACTCACCCCTGTCTAGTGCTGAGGTTAAGATTGAGTAGGAGCTGTGCGTCTCTCATCCTAGGCACCTACATGGTGTATAGTGGGACAGCTTTCCTTTTACTTTTATTTTAAAACAAGGACAGATCATGATGGAGGAACAAAAGCTTTTGCCATCTAGTGTGCAAGGTCTGTATGAATGGGTGCATATGTACATATAATCAGGATGTAAGCAAATACAGAAGAATTAAACATGTGATTAATATGTCACTGCATGTTCTGTGGTTCCTGCTTGTGATTGTGGGTACTATAATAACATTACTTTGGGAAAGATAAACGTTATTTTTATACCATTTGAGCTCTTAGTTATTTTAACTAGCAAAATTCATATATTCCCAAGTTACGGAAAAGTGAGGCCATAGAATATATCATGTTAGTGAATACCCAAGAAAAACCCTTCCCTGTATCTCTTACAGATACTGAGTACAATGTGTGCTGTAAAACTTCCTATAGTATGTGCATAGTATTACAGAAGGGCATGTCAGAAATGCATTAGCAAAACATAGTGAGTGATGGTACAGAACCTGACATGCATGGTAAGGGGTTTCTGTGGATAAGAATTCATGAAAAGGGAGGTGCAAATACTTGAACATATGAACAGTTTACCAAAAGTGTCTAGCCACTACAGTTGGGCCAAAAGTCCATACCAGAAATACCTTACCATGTGTCTAAACATAAAAATCCTGTACAAAATGTACTGTCAGTGGATGAAGGGAAATATTGTCTGTGCCAGGTGAGGTATTTGCACTATAAATCCATGTCTGTTACTACTGTATGATTGAAAATCCTAATTTTCTTCTGTTCTTTTGTATTGAACACTTTCATTTTAGTGTCTGCGTATAATGATACTTCCAAATCAAGCCATACAGAATGTTCATTATGACAGTATTTGTTACTGCTATTCTTTCTGTTTAAGACCATAATTTTAAGTGTTTTCTTATTTCTCAAACAACAGCTACATTTTTCTCCATTAATATACTAATTTGTTCTTTTACTTTATTTGTGATGACTCCTGAACCAGTTCCTGCCTTTACAAACCCTCTGACTTTGTACCATCCCGCCTTATAAACTTGAAGATTTGAAGCAGCAAAAAGTAGTGAGGGGAGAATATAAAAGGAATAAAAGACATTATTTGAGACAACAATGAAAGTATTGCATAAATGCTGTAACCACAGAGCAAATTGAATCTAGACAACTGTTTGACATGAAAGACCATAGAGGTACTTCAGGGAAGAGGAGCTATAGTTGACCACAGCACCAGAGTGGGTGAGGTAGTCAGTGTTTTGCCTCAGTTGTGCTTTAACCCTGGGGGAAAGGACCCCTAGTACCCATTGGATAGGAGGCTGGGTGGGCCTCAGAGCCAGTGTGGATACAGATGCTAGAAAAAAAAATCCTTTACTTCTGCTGGGGATCTAACCCTGGTTGTGAAGTCCATAGACTGACACTATACTGACTGAGCTACCCCAGCTCTGTCTATAACTCTTATTGAAGGTATTTTTGTCCCAGATTAATACTTAGTGAGGTAGTTCAAAAATAATTGTATCCAACACTAACATCAGTCTTCAAATGAATAAATGTACATGGTGCCTATGTGTAAAGATAGTAAATAAAACATTCATTTAGGCCCTTAAAACCAGTTAATGTGAAGGAAACTTATATACGGTAATACTCTTATAGCACAATATTATCAAAATGTGTCAAATGATTGAAAAGATAGATGCAAAAGTTCATTTAGGCCCTTAGAAATCCAAAGTAAATCAAAATGGCTTGACAAAATTTAGTGTAGGACCATTATGCCAAGTTTGATGGAAAGTGGTCAAGTAGTTTTTGTCCTTTTACATGTAAATGGGTGGTGTTGTGAAGCGGTGATTTTCAGTTGCTCTTTTCCCTTTCTTTCAAAATGCATGGACTCCGCACAAGAGAATGTGAAACATGGTACTGAATACAGCCATTTCTCATAACTAAGACACCCAAATAATATCTGTCCACCAGTTAGCATACACATTCTTTCATTTTGTCTACTGAAAATACCTATGTAAACTTAAATAAGATTACAACACAGGCAATTCAAAGTTGCCACAGAAATTCTGTATAGGTACACTTCTGTTTGTGTCATCTCTGTACATCAGTATTATACAATTTTGTCATTTAGATGCCAAGCTTAGTATGTCCTTAACCTTGGCACTTCAATGGGATGCAAAGGTTAGTGGACGAGTGAGATCTCTGGACTCGAGACATTATTTGTTAAGCAATATGCAAACTGTTCGCACATTCATGTGATGACATTTCATAAGTGTTAGGGTACCTAGAAGATGTCTGTAACCAGAATTCTTTTTATCTTTTGTCTAGGTGGCACAGTTTCACAAGGTTCAGTCACACCATGAACCACTCACATCCAACTTCAGACCAATCCAAACGGTGAACAAGCGGCAGATCTACTTGCAGCAACCTTCCGAAAGATATCAAGAAATATCAGCTGCCTCCAGTGTATATGAATCTTGTTTTATTGTAATTGTATTGAGTACATTCAGTATAACTCATTGACTTTTTCTTCATAGTTAACTTAGTCTGGATGTAATAATACCAGGAATAAAGAAAAACTCAATTCCCATGTGGTATATTTTATTTAATAAAATGCAGGAATTTCATTGTAAACTTCTCAACAAGGCACAGATTTGTCCTGAGATTGACATGACCTTTGCATGACCTTCACCTGTCGATTCGATTTTGACACAACATTCGTGTCTCCCGGACCTGCGGTTTTACAAGGAATCACATGCGCTTTAAGTGACTGAAATTTTATGTGACTGTATTAGGCATTGAGTCGGCCCAAAAGTAGTTTAATCGTCTTACCGACAGGGCTATTGTCACGTCGAAATTGTGTTTGGTTGTGAATAACTCACAGGGCGCAGCACAATATGAACTGCGCTATGTTGTCCACCATCAGCATAGCAAATACACGTATGTATTGCAAACAAGAATTGTATTTGTGTGAAATGTCTTACGCTCTTGGTTTACACCTATGAAGGATCAATGAAATGTCACGTAATTCTATTCTGTTCTAGATGTAATTGCGTAAGGAAATTTTATTCTTTCGTAGCGTTATTCGTTTTCATTTGGATGTGGTGTTTGTATTACTAGGGAATTTTCTGTTCTGCCCTACTAGCACGTGTGATTCAACACTGGTCCTGAGCATGGCAAGTTGAACTCGTGTTTTCTTTGTGCGTGTTAAATGGAAGGATGTGGATGAAAGTTATTAGGAAGGTGTGCTTATGATCAATGAGTTTAAGGACAAATTTCCAGCCTAACTTACAGCATTCACCATTACATTATGGATTAACATTAGGTGTGTGGCAGTTTTTCAAACACTAACGTGTACCTTTGCACGTGAAGTAGTACCATATAGGTTTTGATTCATTTTTTGTTTTAATTGTAGGCCCAGAAGTGAGTGACTGTGGCAGCAGCAGAAATCCACCTTAAAATAGCCTAACGTTAAAACAGTATACTTACATTGCTATACTAATTTGGTTCGTGGATACTGTTTGCTGGTTGGGATGTAAGTTCTGCTGCGCCTGCTCTAGAAGAATTTAACTCAGGTTGCGGTGATGCACTCGATAATTTTCTACAATGATACATGTGTTTTAAATATTTTACCCCTATTTCTGCTTCTTCATTACGTAGTTCGTCATTATTGTAACTGATTCCACGAAGAAATTATGGTGATACTGAAGTGCTGAAGTTGGTGATAACAAGTATACAACTCCCATAAATTATGCTTTCTGTTCGTGGAGAACGTAATCAAAAGTCTGCGTAAATTCTGCAAAACAGTTGGTGTATGTATGTATAATTTGAACTCTCAGGCAAACACACACACACACATATATATAAGTGCAACAAGTGGGAAAACTTACCTTGCTATTTTGATTCTTTTTAAAGGAATAGCAAAAGGAGTATTATTTTTATCATCAATGTATCTGGCACACCAGCACCAGTAATCTTACTGCTATCTTCCTCACTTACCTCATCTTTTGTTTTGTTACTGTTTTGTAATTTTTTTATGATGGGCCCGAAAATTTCACCCCATTTGATTTATTTGCAAAAAAACTACTACTTGCAAGTTTTCTACATTTCTTTTGTAGAAAACCCATTTTTCAACTTCTGCCATTATGAATGTTTTATTCTTAATTGTGATTTACCATTTATTTCAGGCCACACCAGTTGTGTAGCATTAGTGACAGTGACATGGGGGTTGTTATATGATCTGATGTTCCTTTTTGTTAGCCAGTCCGTCCAGCTCATGTATTTTTGTGTTGTGTGTGAAGGGAAGCACTTATTTTTAAAGCTCTGATCTTTTGTCTGCTTTAAAAAATTATTTTTTGTTCTGTCCCAACCAGTCAATAAAACACCACGAAATTTGAAAGGGTTAAGTAAACTGGTTCTTGAAACAGTGTGTTCCTGCAAGAACAAGCTACAAGTTTAGTACCATTCTATCCATCAATACCATGCACCCAGACCAATTAGTGCATTATTTTACTCTTGGTCAAAAGTTAAGGGCTTTTCCTCATACCTAGCATATATTTTAATGTTATTGGCTTATGTCATACAGGTAGCATTTTGGGATGTGAGATCAGTAATTATTTCTACACTGTGGCCCTTGCCTTTTTTTCCCCAGCTGGAATTTAGTGTATAACTTCAGCTTTCATATATGTAATTTTAAATATTAGGTTTTAAGAAATTTGTTTTATTTCTGTTGCAGATTAGACTACCCACATGTGTGTGAATACTTAATAAACAGACAATCTGTTTCCTTTTTAAAGAACATTCTTAAATATAAAAATGGGAATGGCATCAAATAATAATAATTTTCCAAGGGGTGGAAGGAAGCCTGCAATTTCTGTGCCCAGGAAAGGACGTTTTGGAGTAAGTTTATAGAGAATTATGTTTAATTTGCTGTTTTATGTTCACCTAGTACATAGAGCTTAGAGTTCAGAACTGAATTTTTTGTTCTCTTGTGCTTGGAATAAAATAATGAGAACTGACAGGGTGTGCTGTCTGGTATCTGATAGAGGATTGTCTTATGTGTAGTGGAGAAAGTATGAATTTTGGCATTTACTTGTTTTGTTATTTAAGATGATGTTAAAAGGCAGATGAATAGCAGGATAATTCTCTCTCTCTCTCTCTCGTTGCTGCTGAAGGCTTCGGTAATGTTTAAGGAGATTGCTCTGTCACCATTTGAGGGGTATTGGAATAGTTTGCATATTTCTGGGATGCCACCCAAGTTAATTTACAGCATTGCAGATTTTTTCCTTTATTTATACATATTTTTATGTTTCTGCAAGAAATACATGGAACTTCACATAATTGGGGCAGCCGCTTAATTGGGCCAAAGTGTTCTAGTCCTGATGTGTCCCAATTAACTGGAATCCACTGTATAATTCAAATTTTTTAGAGGTTTGGTGACAGATGACATGTTTTTGAAGGTTACAGAGGCTCATATACATTTTCACTGAATTGTAAAGTTATTCCATAATGTAAAATGCAGAAGTATCATTGGAATATTTGTCTGTCCTTAAGAATTTGTTGTATGTGTTGTAGCCCTTGGTGTTAGAGCATCAGCTACATTGTTCTAGACAATTTTGAAAATGTTCAATAATGAATAATTGGAAGTTTCCTAAATTTGCAAGGGAAATGTATAATGCATTTGGGTGTTTATTAAATTGTTTGAACTTTGTTTCACACAGTTGTTTGGTAAACCATCACAGAATGGCTCTCACTTCAAGAAAACTGTGAAGAAGAGGGTCAAGAAGCATGGATTGAGTTCCCAATTAAAAGTAACTCATGCAGAACCATTGACACGTAAGGTAAAAAGAAAAAACTTTATACTATTGAAAATCCAGGAACATTATGCCCCATATATTGTCATACATTTCAAAGTCATTCACTTCATTTGTGAGAACTGTGTTTAGGACAGGTATATTTCATATGACCATACTTTGTAGTTGCAAGACAGAATTCAGAGCAGTGATAGATAAGAGTATTAGGTTTGTGTGTCATCTCTGTTATAGAAGTAATCTACTGTCAACAAACCCTATTTATGTCATCATACAGTGTCACTTTCAGTTATTCACCTTCTTAAGTTTACAGTTGTATGTACAAAATCGAAATGGGATGTGTGAGAAATTGTCTGACTTTAGAGAATGATAATGTTTGTGAAGTATAGCAATGTACTTGGTTTTCAGCCAGCCAGCAGTAACAGACACAATGTTTCACTATGCAAAATATAAACTTATATTAACTTTCAACCCACCTACAAACATAATATGTATTATTTAGTTGTTATATCATCTTATTTTCTAACTATAAGAAATAGAATAGATTAGGTCAAACAGAAATTTGTTTGACTTGCACTAATTTTGAGTTTCAAGGAATATATCTGCTTGTTGATTCGTTGTCATCAATTCAGAGCCTTTCCCCATTCACAAAGTTATAAAATAACAATGGATTTTCCCAGGACTATTATAGTATCTACTTCATATTGTGCAATACAAGCAGTAGTCAACAAATGTAATTATTACCATTTTGTCTTCATTTATGGTTTAGCCATTAACACTTTTCAGTGGAAATAAAGATTCATTTGCAATCGAAAGTTATGCACGAGGGCATAAAAAATAATTTGTCAGACATGTTTTCCATCTCTCCATTTCTGAGCAGTGCAGTGACCAACCTGAAAACTCCACAGCCTTTTCATCACTACCTGATCTGATTGCTCCATGAGTGCTGTGAAGGAAGA